CCCCAAAACCCCAAAACCCCAAAACCCCTTGGGATATAATTTTAAGTATATTGACAGATTTTGAATATTTGATTTTATGGGATAATAAATGGATTATGTGAATTACTCGCATTGTGATTTAAATATATTTACAATACTCTTAAAATTTCTGAATGTTTGGAACATCTAATCACTAGTATTTCACATGAATTTTCTTAATATCCAGTTCCATAAATTACTGTTACTATTAGTTTTTGGAAAATCTTTTGGAGGTAGGTAAAGGTCCTCAGGAAACTTTATTTGTCCTCTTTGTCTTCTTATCTCAAGTAGTACTTCCCAGTCAATATCTTAATCTGCATCATCAAAGTCCAGATCTAAATCATCTATATCTACATTTATCTTGCACTATCTCAGGAAGACTGCAAATGGCTTTATTAAATCTTCATTGAAATCAAATTCATTGTGGTCCATGTCAGGTGGGATCTTAAGGGCGCTTGGTCCTCCACATTTTTAATAAAGTTCATGTGAATGAGCGCAAGGTATCAGAGTGTCTCTTTGTCCATGTACTATGAAAGTGGGACATGTAACCTTGTCAATAAGATCAATATTTCTAAACCTATCATTGATGAGGTAGGATGCATATTTTCCAGCTTGTCCTTTCACTATATCCCTAATAGATTTAAAAGGAGACATTAGCAATAAAGAGCAAGGATTAAACTAGGATCCAATATATGTAGCTGGACCGGTGCCAATTGATCTTCCAAATATAATTATAGATGATTCTGGTATTTTCTATATGTTTACAAGATAGGTATACACAGAAACCGCATCTTCTTGAATTCTTTGGGCTTCAGGTTGCCCATCATATATTCCATAACCAGGATATTCCATAGCCAAAACGTGTACCTATTAATGAAAATAAGATTAGTAATATTCTTTATTTACCCTCATTAGTGTACGAATATAATCTAGAAGCTCAGTGGCTAAACCTATATCTTCGGCATTGCCATGGAAATATACTAAAATCTTAGACGATCCACTCTGGAATGGAAGAAATACACATGGAATAACTCCTGAATTGCTAAGCTTATATTGGGAGATAGAGATGTTTAATGATGCTATATCAATTTCTTAGATAGTTTTATTGCTTCTTGATTTTTTTATATGTGTAGTCAACTTTAATTGATCATTTTCAATGATCTTAGTATCTTTATCTTCCAAAAACTATTCGATTCCATCTTAATCTAAGATCTTATTTTCTTCAAGCATAAATGAATGTATTTTCCTTCGATTTTCGAAGACTTATCTGTCAGAAATTGAGACTTTTTACTTATCAATCTATGTTGTTCTACTATCTCCTTAAACCTCATCTTAGTTTTCTTTTTGTGCATTTTCAGAGAAAGGTTGAATATCCTAGTCCTAACCAGCTTGATTTTAATTTTCATTATCAATTTTTATCATTCGAGGGATATATAGTAGATCTCCTGCTCCACCATGAATGGTATAACTACTAGGAGGTGCAGGAAATAAAAAACTGTTAAACTCCATTGCGTAAATTATAATTTTAATATATGATCAACTTGCTATATTTGAAGAATATTATTCATAATTTTATAATTATCTTAATCACGGGGTTTTGGGGTTTTGGGGTTTTGGGGTTTTGGGG